TGCAAACACAGAGGAGAAGGATGGAGCAATAGAGCAATTTTAACTTCTTTATTATGAGCTGTACCAATAAAAGTCTAATAATCCAGCCACCAAGGTCATCAGCTAAAGTACTAAGAGGAGCATAATTTTTAGCTGCAGTAGAGAGATTGAAAGGGGATTGAAAAAAAGCAAAGCTTGAGTTGGAAATGAAAGAAAGGCATCTGTCACTAAGGATAGAAGGGTCTGTACATGGGTCAGGCACCAAGAACTCTTTGTTTGCAGGTTTGTCTTGGGCTATGGAACATGTTATATAAATGATTGCTAGCAAAATCCTAACCAGTCTCAGCTGACAGTGATTCAGCAGCTGCTGAGTCACAGGCAGGGCTTGATGATTGCACAGTGATGGCTCATTACCATGCTTAGATAGATGAAGAACACTGAAGGTTTTCTTGCTACCAGGGATGATTGTGCTCCCTGTCAGTTATGAATAATGGGAGTTCTGGAACTCATGCTTTGGGAGAGTAGATGTTTGTCATAGTGGTGACAAGACAGGATAGTAGTGCAGTCTTTCTTCCTCTATATTTCCTACCCATCCTTTACTTGTGGTCTAACGACTCAGCAAGTGGAAGGTGAGAGGGAAGACTCATGGAAGTGAACACCAAGACAGGTAAAACTGTCTACAGATGGTGAAATGCCTAATTTAAATTGCCTGGGATTAGGAAAATACATGTCAAAAACAGTACCAGGTTTACTGTGATGCAGTCATACTTGGCCCACACTGGGAAGGGGCCCATAATGACTCCAATCCCCAGTGTGTGTGGGGCAGATGGATCCTGTGGTTGTGTGTGTGTGTGTGGGGGGTGTGTGTGTGTGTGTGTGTGTGTGCGTGTGTGTGCGTGCGCGCGCGCGCGCGCAGAGACATATCCTAATTAAGTTAATGAACAGCTATTATCTGGAAAGCAGTTTTTGAGGGAAAGAACAACTCTTTATGAGCAAGGCCAGATTAATGCTCTGTGGGCCTGGTGCCCAATATATTTGTGAGCCCACCTCTAGCCCTAGCTTCTATGAAAAGGGGTTGTGAGGTCCTCCAATCCTGGGGCTACAGCAAGGGGGAAGAAAGA